TGACTTGTAGCTGTTTAGGCTACTGTTCTCTGATTTGCCACTGAGGCCTCATGAATACATCTTCAACTTGATTTTTTGTTTAATTTTTGATGATATTAAGATCAACCTCTGTTGTTATAGTCAGCTGTAATCTTCTTGGTATAATGCTACTGGAGTTGTATAATCAGCTGACAAATTTAGATTTCTACTGGTATTGTTTATCTGCAGGCATAAGTCTCCTCCGGCTTAATACTGGGCTCGAGAATAATTTACCTCCTGCAGAATTTAGCATTGTTATGCCCTGATATTTAGTCGGGCTACCAATGAAATGATGTAGTAGTTTGCACCAACAAGGATTCTGAAGTCGGTGAGGTGATCAGACTCAATTTGAACTGCCCATTTTATTCCTCAGGAATTTGGCAGTAGCTCCCAGACCTTGTACTTGTAGGTCTACTATTATTGTTTCCTCCATAATCGCTTGTACTTGACAGACGTAGCTGCCTTATTAAACTGATGGTTGTACCACCTGGTAAACTTGAAGTCATGTATCTGCTAGAAATCCTAAAATATTGAATGTCATCTGGGTTACAGGCCTTAATTGTAGTTCATCTGCAAACTTTTTAGTGACATATGTTCTCTGGGACCCTTGGTCAAACAACCCACGAGTATGGACCCTGGCCCTCTTATTCTGGATGGTAATTTGGGCAATAGGCAAAGTCGTATTCCCTTTGGACTCTGCCGATTGGACTCTAATTTTTTGGTGCACCTTGCAGTATTGTACTGTGGTAGGAATGCTATTTTCCACCTTGGGGTTTGGAGATTTTGTTTTGGTGTCTCCGCACAATGCTGCATGGTACTGACCCTTGTTACACCTATTACAGGCGTGCAATTGGGTCTTACAGTCGATGAAGTTGTGTTCCTGAGGCAACTCGTGCAATGTTGCAAATCTTTGAGTCGCTCAACATGGGCGTCACTATCAGGAAAATTAGGGCAGTTGTACATTGAATGTTTCACCTTGTAGAACAAACATGTTCCATAGCTTCCAATACCCTTTGGTGTCATGGTATTGGGTGACATAGTAACTATAGACTTGGAGATTCCCACTGTATATGTGCCCACTCGGTCACTGTTCCATATTTGGTGTTGAATTATATTGTCTAGATTGATTTGTAGTACCTTTGGTGCTCTGTGGTTTACTATTATTGGTTTCTGAAGGTTTACTTGGTGGTTTTAATTTGTCATGTGTTCGTAGTTGGTGAATTACTGAACATAAACCCTCAGATATTTCATTCAAAGATAAAATACTTTTACTGTAATAAGCACTCATATATCTCAATACGTCCCTCTGTATTTTCTCCTGGACAATTACTTTCAAGACCAACTCAGCCCCGTTTGTATTGGCTGTCAGACTGAGGGCCTTGATCATTGATTCTTCCTCAAGCTTGAAGACTTGGAGTGAATCAGCTGAAGCCCCCCAGTGAGGGGGTTAATGCAACAGCTCATGAACTAAATGTGATTTTCTTACCTCTGGATCAGCTTAATTATCCTTGAGGAGTTGTACTGAGAGAGCATTGCCTTCGTTAGTTAATCTCAGATGGGATACTACTGTTTTAACTTCACCTTATAACTGGCCTTGTAGATAAGGGAATTTACTACTCTTAGGTAAAGATTGTTTTGAGTCCACAAGGTCTACGAATTTGTTCCAAAATTTGTCCCGATCTTCCTCATCTTTTCATGAGAAAGTAGGTAAATTCATTAGAGGGAGTCGAGCTTCAGTTTGACTCATATTAGATGAAACGGTTGTTGTTACCTTGTTCTGGGCAATTATTTTGAAGAAAGAGTGTAACATGACCTGAGTGTGATCTTCATAATTCGCTAGATCAACCATAATGTCGTCTATTTCTGTTGCTGATAAATTGGTGTTGGCAAGTTCAGCTATGTATGTTGCTATTTGGCATTTTATTTGCTAAAATTTACCTGTTGCGGCTTGATAATTGCTTTCCAGGTCAGCACAATCAACTGAGGATTGTTGTGACAAATCTTCACATTTCTTGATCTGTTTTGTTAAGTGGCCTTTAAGACCTACAAGGGTTCTCTTCAATCTTCCTGCAGTATCCATACTGGTTAGCTGGCTAAGCCTTGTGGGGCATTTATTTGGGTTGCTCATAATGCTGAACAAATACTGTTGGAGTAGCCTAGAGTAAAATTCTGCAATCACTAGACTATAACCCCTCCTCTTCTTGAGGTTAGCACTTAAAATTAATATACATTATTTATAATCATACACACTAACGATTTGAGTGAACCAGTGTCACTGAAAGTACCTTTAGGTTAGCTACTCAATTTTCACCCAAGGATGGTATAGACACTAATTAATCACTCAAAAGTGCAATGATTATAAGTAAATTATTATATATACACAACTCAACTCGAGCTGGTATTAATTACACCCGAAATAGGGTTTGCACTATCAATTAATGGTGATAGGTTGTTCATTGTAGTACAACTAGATTATGGAAACATGGAACTAGGATGAACAATAGTTAGTTCAACTAGTCAATGGTAATATGGACTAGGTTATCAATGAACACTAGTCATTGTCATATCCTACCCTGTAGGAGGTTGGCAATTAGTAAATATTGTGTTGATGAAACTAGTGCAATATATATTTAAAGTATTTTCTCTTAAAAAAGTAGAGAAATTATAGACTTTAAGAAATTATACTTTAAGAAATTTCTTAAAGTAGAGAAATTATATACACAATGGTTGATGATAGCCTCTAGTATTATCTAGAAATATTAAGTCTTATTAGTGACTCGCAAAATTACCACCACAAAATTCGTGGATAAACATGCGAGGGTGCAGCCGCTAATTTGGCTGGTTTTAAAATAAGCGCTGTGACTCCACAGAATTAAAATGCGACAAAATTAGTGGGTGCCCGTGGAGACGCTGTGAGGCTCGGCTGAGGGGGTCGTGAGCTCGCTCGAGGCTACGCGGCCGATCACTGTCTGTTACTGATAATATTATACTACTGTTTTGTATAAATTGCACTAATTGCATTAGTACCAGTGTCTTTCTGGTTTGTTGTGGACCATTAATCATGATCCAGGTTCGAAGTACCAAATAATTTGGGAGATTCGAACCGGTTCTGTGCTATCTTGGTTCAAAGGACCAAATAATGTGGGGAACCGACCTGTGAGATTTATATTTATTTAATTTATATGAATTTATATATAATTTAAATGTGCGAGAATTTATATATTTCGATAACAATTGTATGATGTTTAGTGGACTGTATTTCTGCAAATTCTCATAAATTGATCTCCTTACACATCATGGGGGTTTATATATATATATATATATATATATATATATATATATATATATATATATATATGCGAACAAGCCTGAATGGTCCCCAGGACAATATGCAACTGAAAACTCACACCCCCGAAGTGACTCGAACCCATACTCCCAGGAGCAACGCAACTGGTATGTACAAGAAGCCTTAATCCACTTGACCATCACGACCAGACATAATGAGGTGATAGCCGAGGCTATCATAATGAGGTGATAGCCGAGGCTCATTATGTCCGGTCGTGATGGTCAAGTGGATTAAGGCGTCTTGTACATACCAGTTGCGTTGCTCCTGGGAGTATGGGTTCGAGTCACTTCTGGGGTGTGAGTTTTCAGTTGCATATTGTCCTGGGGACCATTCAGGCTTGTTCGCATTTGTGTTCCTCACGTGTGCCCCAAAGAATGAGGTGATTTGGTAAAATGCTATGCCCAAGATTACTATCCGAGTGCCGGCGGTGGGGTGGTTCAAATAGCCTCGGCTATCACCTCATTATGTCCGGTCGTGATAGTCAAGTGGATTAAGGCGTCTTGTACATACCAGTTGCGTTACTCCTGGGAGTATGGGTTCGAGTCACTTCTGGGGTGTGAGTTTTCAGTTATATATATATATATATATATATATATATATATATATATATATATATATATATATATATATATATATATATATATATATGCAGATAATCAAACTACAGTATTAAACTACATACATTAGTAATTGAAATTGAGAACTCTTATCATATATGACTGATTTTGTCCTAGACAACCAGTAGGAACATGGATGAATAAGCCAGTCGATCCACCTTGTGGGTGTGGCTTGTCCCCCATTCATGTACTGGTTTCTAGGTTACTAACTTCCTCTCCAATTGTTCCTGTCAAAGGCCACTTACATACTAGCAATAATCCTATATATATGACAGCTATATGTGAGGAAATATTGCCAATTTAATTAAAGATGAGAATAATACTCAATCTGGGTTGGTCGCTGACTCATGTCTTAGCCGGAATTATGGTATCTACCTAACATTACTGGCCAGGAATGACTAGATAACATTTCAGAAAGACACATCCCTTGTTTAAATGATGACTGCGTGTTGATGATGGATAATGACTGCGTGTTGATGATGGAAGAAGCACTAATTTACTCTCCGTAACACCTCGTCTAAGGGAGAATTATTGGAGCTGAACTCGCTCCAGCGACCTGTTATCTTAACAATAATGGCTGACTACTCCCTCCTCCACTGACACCCTGGCTTTCTTAGTTCAGATGTCAATAAGTGATAGAAAGGCCACATATACTCAATTTGGTACTGATACTTAAGTTAATTAAGGTGAAATGTTTTTATGATGTTAACAGTCCAAAGGCTGCTGCATTAAAAATAATTCCCAGCAGAATAGCTAGCGAATTTAATAGCGACGTCGCAATGATATCGCGTTTTCTATTGAAGGAAATTCCACTTCAGGCTACATTTTCTATAGGTTAACTTGTGTATACAACCCAGCAGCAATATCATTTGCTTATTTTATTAAATATTTGTAAATAGTGTCGGGTTTTCCGATACTGCATGAGTACCGGACCTGTCCTAACAATAATGTTTAAGTGTTTTGTTCGCCTCGGTAATAATTAGGTAGGGTTTCTCTGAATTATTGAAGCTATCACTTACTCTCCTCGCCTCTGTCATCCAGGAAAGATGCACCTGCGTTAAGTTAGCACGAGGCGCACGAAATTCCCCTTCGAACAGCGTAACTGCAACTGTTGATCGCGTAAACGCCATGAATTCCTGAAAAAGATCAAACATTTGTTTCATGCGAAAATATGTACAGATGTCGAGGATATTATTTGAGCAAATCCCACAGGGGAAGATGGACTCACTCTCACACACCTTTAAGACCGTAGTTGGCCAATAGGCTCCGTCTGTGAAGAAGACAAGAGAGGAACGGGAGTCAGACTCGCTTGACACGACTGCCTGGAGAGCCCTGGCTGTTGCTGGTGGTGGTGATGCTGCTGTTGTTTCAGAAATAAAGCCATCTAATGTCAGCAAATGTATTTGTTTTCATTTCTTTGTTGTATTATTACCAAGTAAACAATATCTATATGTTTTTGTTTGACTTTACCATAACGTAAATGCAGCTGCCTGTCAACCAGCAAGGCAGTAACAGGAAGGAAAAGCAGGGGCGCTGTCACCTTAAGTGCTGTCACCATGTTGACTCGTCCAGGAGAGACTGTAAATGCATCAACTAATATCATTAGTAGTTCCAACTCTTCATATAAAAATTTCAAAGTACTAGAATTAGAGACTTCAAAGGAAGTCTAAAACCAATTTATTGGATTGTGGCAGAAGCACAATCATCGAACACAGTGCAATCATTAGAGGTCTGTGATTTCTTAGGTTTTTTCCAGCAAATGAAGAAAATGAACTCTGATGCTCAAAAAGTACATTGCAAGTACATTACTCAATACAAAAACAAGTGGCAAGTCACGCAATACAAAAAACATACAGGAAGTTACACAATACAAAAACATGAGTCACTTTTTAATTGCATTTTGGTGGGAAAAGTTTTTTGCTACTTCCGCAATGTTTTTCTCCAACAAAATCACGTGGCGGGAATGCACAAAATCATAATCACAATTTGAAAAATATTATGAAACCACAACACGTCTCTAGTGAGAAGCACAATCAACGATTGTGCTTGCTTCTCGTAAGACATGAATTCCTGAAGTAGGTGAAACCTTTATTTCATGTGAAAATATGTACAGAAGTCGAGAATATTATATAAAGTATGATCCATCCGTACATAAAGATGGATCAACTCCTCCAGCAATTCAATATCTTCATCATGCTTGCCAGCACGTGGAATCTAGTGAGGATTGATTTTTTCACTTTTCTCACAGAGCACCTAAACAACGACCAGGTGAAAATATATTGGCTGCCTAATCGAATCGTCTTATCTATGTGATGACTGAAATATTAATGTATTTAAAGGTTCTCGTTATCAACTTGTAGAACTGAGGTTCCCTTGTCATTCTTTGAAGGACTTGTAGGCTTCAATTTTCTGTTATTTTTTTTAGTTTATATTAATTTAGCTCAAATTGTTATGTGTATCTTTGTCACTATTTTGTGTGATATTTATTTTGTTTATTTTATCTGACAAAGACGTCAACCTGCCTCCAATCAAAAGTATTCTATCAGTGTGAAATATTTTAGGCTCAAATTGTCTCATTTTATATATAAATATATATATGTAAATATATATATATATATATATGTATATAAATATATATATATATATATATATATATATATATATATATATATATATATATATATATATATATATATATATATATGTAAATATATATATATATGTCGTACCTAATAGCCAGAACGCACTTCTCAGCCTACTATTCAAGGCCCGATTTGCCTAATAAGCCAAGTTTTCATGAATTAATGTTTTTTCGTCTACCTAACCTACCTAACCTAACCTAACCTAGCTTTTTTTGGCTACCTAACCTAACCTTACCTATAAATATAGGTTAGGTTAGGTTAGGTAGAGTGGGTTAGGTTCGGTCATATATCTACGTTAATTTTAACTCCAATAAAAAAAAATTGACCTCATACATAGAGAAAAGAATTGCTTTATCATTTCATAAGAAAAAAATTATAGTAAATATATTAATTCAGGAAAACTTGGCTTATTAGGCAAATCGGGCCTTGAATAGTAGGCTGAGAAGTGAGTTCTGGCTACTAGGTACGACATATATAAATATATATATATATATATATATATATATATATATATATATATATATATATATATATATATATATATATATATATATATATATATATATATTTTGGTAGCAGTCTTTCCTGTAGACATATTTTATTAAATATGACCGAAAAAGTAAGATTAATAATTCTAACACGAATTTTCTCAATCTTTCGTACATTATGCTTCACTGTTGGAGGTAAATCAAAAATCACTTCTCCAAAATTCATTTTTATTTCTAGTCTGACGCGACACGGGCGCGTTTCGTAAAACTTATTACATTTTCAAAGACTTCACAAATACACAACTGATTAGAACTTGCGTTTCCCTGATTTTATATCTACATTTGAGTGAGGTGGGAAGGGTGATGTGGCATTACATTTGAGTGAGGTGGGAAGGATGATGTGGCATTAACACAAGACAGAACACTAGAGGATATTAATAGGGTATTAAAAGTATCAACACAAGACAGAACACGAAACAATGGATATTGAATAGAAGTGTTTGTAGAAAGCCTATTGGTCCATATTTCTTGATGCTTCTATATTGGAGCGGAGTCTTGAGGTGGGTAGAATATAGTTGTGCAATAATTGGCTGTTGATTGCTGGTGTTGACTTCTTGATGTGTAGTGCCTCGCAAACGTCAAGCCTGCTATCGCAAACGAGCGATAGCAGGCGGCTTGACGTTTGCGAGGCACTACACATCAAGAAGTCAACACCAGCAATCAACAGCCAATTATTGCACAACTATATTCTACCCACCTCAAGACTCCGCTCCAATATAGAAGCATCAAGAAATATGGACCGATAGGCTTTCTACAAACACTTCTATTCAATATCCATTGTTTCGTGTTCTGTCTTGTGTTGATACTTTTAATACCCTATTAATATCCTCTAGTGTTCTGTCTTGTGTTAATGCCACATCATCCTTCCCACCTCACTCAAATGTAATGCCACATCACCCTTCCCACCTCACTCAAATGTAGATATAAAATCAGGGAAACGCAAGTTCTAATCAGTTGTGTATTTGTGAAGTCTTTGAAAATGTAATAAGTTTTACGAAACGCGCCCGTGTCGCGTCAGACTAGAAATAAAAATGAATTTTGGAGAAGTGATTTTTGATTTACCTCCAACAGTGAAGCATAATGTACGAAAGATTGAGAAAATTCGTGTTAGAATTATTAATCTTACTTTTTCGGTCATATTTAATAAAATATATATATATATATATATATATATATATATTTATATATATATATATACATATATATATATATATATATATATATATATATATATATATATATATATATATATATGCATATATATATATATATATATATATATATATATATATATATATATATATATATATATATATATATATATATATATATATATATATATGTCGTACCTAGAAGCCAAAACGCATTTCTCGGCCTACTATGCAAGGCCCGATTAGCCTAATAAGCCAAGTTTTCCTGAATTATTATATTTTCTCAATTTTTTTTCTTATGAGATGATAAAGCTACCCATTTCATTATGTATGAGGTCAATATTTTTTTATTGGAGTTAAAATTAACGTAGATATATGACCAAACCTAACCAACCCTACCTAACCTAACCTAACCTATCTTTTTAGGTTAGGTTAGGTTAGGTAGCCGAAAAAGTTAGGTTAGGTTTGGTTAGGTAGGTTAGGTAGTCGAAAAACAATTAATTCATGAAAACTTGGCTTATTAGGCAAATCGGGCCTTGCATAGTAGGCAGAGAAGTGCGTTCTGGCTATTAGGTACGACATATATATATATATATATATATATATATATATATATTGTGACGGTAACGCGTTGGTGTTCGGCTGTTTAAGGCTAGGGGTATGGCCTCGTCACATAGTTATAAAAAAAAATAGAAAAACTGGAACTTCGTCTGTGGTAAGGTAAGGAGAAGACACACAAAACACAAGTAAAACTTTAACAATGAAATTTTAATTACGTTAAATAAATCAAAACATGAAAATATGGACAAACAAATATGTATAATAAAATCAATGAATCAAAATAATAAGAATACTTAAATGACACAATGAAAAGTTACGTTAAGGCAAAATAACAAGAAGTGCAACAAAAGTTAAGTGGGAGGTGCTGGAATATTGGCTTAAAGCCACCACCTCTCTCAGTACACGCTAACGTCTAGCTGGGAGGAGTGCTGGCTACGAAAGCACGGAACATTCTGAGGACTGATGTTGGGGCGACCCCAGACATCAGGTAGTATTGGGGGGCGAGTGCAGGTGCAGCCAGACCGGCGACCAATCAGCGGAGTCGTAGCGATCAACGGGTAGTTTGGTGGTTGGAGTTCGAACAGGTGGCTGCTGCATACGTTTCTGCTCACCCTGGCAAGCCTTGCTGGTGGTGTTGCCGTTGTTGGACATTTCTTCCATAGTCTTTTTATATAATTGTGAAGACGTAATTTTGGAGGGAAGAGCAGGCTCAATCTCTTGAAGGAGATTATCGTCACAACTCTCCCCCGAAGCCTGCGGTTCTGGAAGAAGTACGTCGTTATGTGGTGGAGTAATGGATGGAGTTGCTTCTACTTCATAAACTCTGGAGAGATCATGGGCTAAGATGTTGTCAGACTCTTGGTATAGCGTGTCTCCAGGTTGAATTTCTGCAGGTAGCAAGCCCATAGTAGAAGACGTTGAGATGAGAAGTGGGCGTGCTGCAGGAGGTGTAGGGTGGTGTGGTTCGTATTGATGGTGGACCGAGCACTTTTCAGGTGTGGAGTGAAGTGCTGAAGCTTCAGGATGAGGAAGAGTAGCTCCTTGCCAATTGTTCCGTCGTTCCTTGTAGCAGTAGTCGCCGACAGGTGTATTCTTCTCGCCTCGTTGTTGCATCACGACACCACCAACGTCGGTACCCCTAGCGTCGACATGGAGGATGAAGGGTTTATCTGACGAGGTGAGAGTGGAATTAGAAGAGGGCATAGGAGCACGATTATTATCCTGAAAGCATTTGGGAAGATCATTAAGGATTTTGGAATTAGAAAGCGCCGACTCCTTGTCAGTGCTTTCGGGAGAAGAAGCCGGGATGGTCTCACTGTGGATGTAGGGTTCTGTGAAAGTAGAATAGTTTATCAAGACAGTGGGAGGAGTACCATTATATTGCTTCAGGAGGTTGACGTGGCACAGCTGGGTCTTCCGCCGCCTATCTGGAGTCTCTATCACATAATTATTATTATTCCTGCACTCTTTGACGCAGTAGGGTCCTGAAAATCTGTTCTGTAAAGGTGAACCTGGGATAGGGAAATAAGCAAGGACGAAGTCTCCCGGCTTGAATTTTCTTACTTTGCTGGTCTGGTCGTAATGAGTCTTCATTCTCACCTGGGCTTTCAATAGATTATCATGGGCAAAGCGGTGGACTCTCTCTAGAATGTGCTGAAGGTTTTGAAGAAACTGGG